ATACTTTGGGCTCCTTTTGCGTACACTTGGTATTTGTGTCTTGCACTTCGTCTGCACCTCATACCTAGGTGTTACTCTTATTCTCCCTTCCTATAACAACAACCTTTCGACACCCACAGCTAACCCGGAGTGTCAGCTGAGCACGGTGACTGCTGTACGACAACACGCATGTGAATACCTAAACAGCAGGCACCACCTCCTCATATTTATCTTCGTACACATAGTTGCACATTCACACTTAAACCTTAATACACTTTACTGTGTTACGACATACTAATAGTAGGGCGACGGCTGATAAAGGTAGCACGAGTAACGGAGCCGTGTCTCAATAAAAATTTATTAACATATATATATAATCGATGACGCGCTCATCTACGGATTGGAAAATATTATTTTCGACGACTGTAGAGCGGATTGGGGTGAATGCGTTACGACCGTCTAGTATCGTGCGCGTGCGCGTGGAAAGTTACAAACATCCCAGATACAAGTAAAACTAATATAAGCGAGTTAAAAAAAAATTTATTTTAATTTGTTTATTTTTGAAAATGTTATGGCAGTTTTAAGTAGAAAAAAATGTCAAAATTTGCCGATTTAAAAAATCGTAATTTTTGGTGGATTTTCTCCATTTACAGGGAATGATGGAAATTTTTTTAATTTTTAAGGGCAATATCTTCTATTAAATGAGATTTGTGATATTTTGACGTATTGTTAAAAGAAATCGGTGCGGTGAGAGCTGAGAAAATTGAAATTAAATAAAATTAAAATATTCTTTTTGAAAATGTAGAAAATATTAAAAAATGGTAATGATTATAGGATGCATACAATGATCATTTTTATACATGACACTCGTTTGTTTTTGAGAGCAGTGTGAATTATTCTAAGAAAAAAATGATTAAATTCATAAATAATAACATTGTTTTATAATTTTTTTATCCCTCTAGGGGAAAAAATGCTTTGATTGGTGTTTTAAAAATATACTATAATGAAATCCTAATTCCCATATTGAATATTCCAAGACTTTATATTTAAACGTTAAGTTAATTATCTTAATATAAATGACGGGTCGGATGTTTTACTTGACACTCGAATAATAAACTAAAGACAATTTATTCTATTTTTTCTAATGACATGATTCTCATATACAAACCAAACAATTACACATAATAAGAACATTAACATAAAAAAAAGGAGTAACATCATCCAGCTATTTGACACTTCCTCCGCTGCGTAATATTGCAATGCTTTGAGATCTCCACAACAAAAACTTCTTGGCCGACGTTAACAATACTGAGTGTCACCATTAATTTTACAATGACAGGACGCACTAACTCGCCGAACAAAAGAAAAAAACACCACCGGTGTGAGTACACTAAGAACACCAACTCCAAATATGGATTGAGTACTTAATGACCGTACGTATACAGGCCGACACGAACGCAACAAAGAAAACTATGCCAAATCACTGGCTATCTAACGATCTAACGTCAACCGCATACACAAAAGTAATGACAGGAAGGTGCCGGAAGTGTGCCGGACACGGTTTTTATCATTGCGACGAGAGTGGTACTGGGCGATTTTAAGCTACGTGGAGCTCGAACGTACTCACACGTAACTTTTGAACAGGCGTTTTAACTAAAGAAAGTATTAAATTTAATGATATGATAAATATAATATAAATAGTAACTTTGGTTTATAACTTTTTTTATCCTGTTAATACATTCATTTGTTACGTAATTTATTTATTTATATAATATTACTTATTTTTTTTATATTAAGTCATTATCTAAACAATAATACTTTTTGAAGCAGTCTTACAGCATATCTATAGCTGAGCTATAATCTTTTAAAGCAATGGCAACAATATCTTTGTTTATAGTTAACTAAAAATATTACATACCAATTAATTTCTATTGATATTATTCAATTACATTTTTTATTATGTCTTTGATAGAGTTATAAATAAACAATCATTAATAATATATCAAATAAGCTAATTTCGTCTTAAATTGATTGTCAGATTATAAAGTGAATTTTTTAATTATTTGATATTTCAGTAAAATATCAGAAAATAAACATTGTTTTTATCAATTTGAACAAAACAAAGGTCTTGTTTCAACTTAATAATTTCAAAAAGATCTGCTATCATCTATTTATCGAATTTATAAGTTGAATTACTGGAACTCATTTAAGAATTTATAATTTTTATAGAAAAAATTATCTACATACCTATTACCTATACAGGGTGATTTTTTTATTATTATCTTTAGTTACACATTATTCTTGAATTATTAACTATGTAATACTTTTTAAGTTCATCCCTTATGCCTGGTAAGGGTGTCAACTTTGTTTTTTTAAATGGTAACACATATTTTTAATTTAATAAAATGTTTGAGTTTTTAATTCAATAATAAATGGCATTTGAATTTTTAATAAAACTTAATTTGTTTATTAGATATAAACATTTAAAGTTTCAAATTTTTGAGTTAATATATAGGTATAATACACAAGGGATTACAAATACAGGTAGCTAATTGGTTTTTTATGATATTGCTATCACATTCACGGATTGTTTATTATAAATTATGACTATCAATAGTTATACTTTTTGTATTGTCAGTTGTGTATTTATAAACTCACAACAATGTACCTTACTACCATTGATAATAACAATGTTGTGTACCTGCTAATATCGATGTCATAAAAAACCAATTAGCTACCTGTATTTGTAATCCCTTGTGTATTATACCTATATATTAACTCAAAAATTTGAAACTTTAAATGTTTATATCTAATAAACNACACTTTAAATGTTTATACCTAATAAACAAATTAAGTTTTATTAAAAATTCAAATGTCATTTATTATTGAATTAAAAACTCAAACATTTTATTAAATTAAAAATATGTGTTACCATTTAAAAAAACAAAGTTGACACCCTTACCAGGCATAAGGGATGAACTTAAAAAGTATTACATAGTTAATAATTAAAGAATAATGTGTAACTAAAGATAGTAATAAAAAAAAATGTTTAAATTATTTTTATTATGCAAGTAATTGAGTGGGTTATGATAAAAAAATCACCCCGTATAGTATAGCGAGAAAAGATTTCGTTTTTTCTATCCTTTTTCTCAATACATATTTTGATGTTCGATATCGTAAAAAATCACATGGAAATTAAAATCTTGAATAATTTTATAGTGCTACAGATAATAGACAACTAAACATAAATGAAAAAAAATGTTCTCCAAATTTCTTCTTTAAAATGGCGATCTTCAAATTTTTTTTCCCATTTTCGTATATTAAAATAAAATTATCATTTTTTATAAAAAAAATTATTGTTCGAACGTATAACAAATATTAAAAAAAATTAATGAAAAATATTTAATGGATATTTCAATCAAAACTTATTAGAGTTGTTAAAACATCCTGTAGAATTACATTTTCAATAATCGTATGGATGTAAATGACAAAAATTTAAAATCTTCAGTTAGCTTAACGATGGATTACTCTAGTTTTTTGATAAAAATAATTAACGATTTTTATTATTTTTGAAAAAAGTATAAAAAATAATTAAAGCAAAATAAAAAAATTACTATAGGTTCTTCCACCCTAAACAATCTCTCATGAAACATAGTACAGCATATTTCGAAATCTTTTATATTAGTTGATGTTTGTCCTCCTTGGACGTTTTTTAATTCTTTACTGGTCTTGTTTAGTGTTAAATCTTCAAACACTCCAATCAATTTCCTTAATTCTTTACTGGTCTTTTTTTGTTTTAAATCTTCGAACCCTCCAATAAATTTCATTACCTCTTCACTCGTATTGATCAGTTGTAAATTACCGGATACATACTTTTCTCTTATGTCATTTAAAAATGGATATAAGGATTCTAAAGAAAATCAAATAATCATGTACTTAATAAAAACAAGAATTATTCGAATTGACAAATGTAAGGAGATAAATATATACGATAAAAGGCGAATATTCTATTTTCAAAAAAAAAAATTGCAATTGAAACTGTAATCTACTTTAGTCAGTTACAGCTTAAATTGATTATAATTGTTGTCCAATATCAAATAATATTTTCTAGTTAATGACACAAAAATACCACATTTTTTTAGCATTTTTATGACAATGGGTTGTTTTAAAAAAAATCTACAGAATTCGAATCACTCTATGCTATATATTTAGTCAGATATTTACCTTTATCTATTTGTATATTGTCGTCAAATTCAATGTTATTTAAGCAATTATAAAATTCTTCTCGTGCTACTGGTAAATTTTTAAAAGACAAGTATTCAATTATTTCATTGGCTATTGTTGTAAGTATTAGTCCCTTAAAAAATAACATATTGTTATTATAAAACTATTAAACTGAAGAAAATCCCAAAGAAACCTAAAATTGTTTCCGATAAAATAAAAATGAAATAAAATAATTAATAAAATATAGCTCATTAACTAAATATAATATATAAAAGAAAACGATCATAACAGATCATAGACATAACAAAAATCATAAACGGTCCACCTTCGAATTTGTGACGTTAAAGCTCAATCATGAAATATTCTGGGCCAAAGACACTTCATGTCTAGATTTTTTAGAAAAATAAAGTGTCGAATGAGCTAGAAAACGCTTTTTCATAGGCCTATTTATAAGGAGAGAAATTGTGGTTATAAATTTAATTAAAAGATTCTTCTTATTGGTTAATCAATTAAACTGAAAGGGACATCTTCGCAACTTATTATTTTATGATTTGAGTTATTTTTATAAAAGGGCCTTGGTGTTTTGTATCTATAATCTCCTGTAAGAATGTTATTTATTAAAAGAAATCATAATTATTAAATTGTAAATACAATGGAATTGTAAGTGCTAATAATCAATTACACAATTATGAATATATCATAAACATATATTTCAATGAAATATCTAGTTTCATTTTACAGTAAATCTATATATATTATTTGTTTTTTAGGTATCGAGTTACTGAGTTCACTTACCAAGAAAATGATGACTTGTAAATATGTATGAACAATCATTTTTTTTTTTAACAGTGAAACTTGAAAAAAATACAAAATATTTTTATGGCAACTATTAATAGATTTGAATGATAAGTTAATCTAATTTGGGGAGAGTCATTACAATTTTTTTCCTATAATTTACTAGAGATTTGAATATAAATCTAGATTTTTAACTAATATTTTGTATAACATGATTGCTCATAATTAATACCTAAGTGATATCGTTATGAAAAAATGTCAAATAAATGGAATAAACCCTTTACTATATTAGTTTTAGTGGATGTATATAACTAAATTAAAATTTCATTTAATATAACCCAATTCAAACAATAAATTATAATTAATTGTATCAATAACTCCTTTAATACGCTAAGTCGTCTACTTGGGTTACTAGGAAAATTATTTTTATGTAAGTTAGTTATTAGTAAATAATTATGATCTTTTTGTTAGTTTTAGAAGCGCAAATAACTTCATTTAGAATTCAGTAATCTTTGGAATTTTTGAATCATGGTAGATAATTTGGTAAATTTAATTGTAATGAGAATTAACATCTCTGTAATTTCTCGGATAAGTAAATTGTTTTATATCAACTTATATATATGAATGTCTTAGTAATACATTATGGATGAAAACTTATAAATTTATTTTTAACATTTATTTTACTTGAAATTTTTATTACACTGAAGTCTTATGTGCAGTTCACAAAGTTTCCAATAAGTTAATATTTCATATAATTGTATTAAATTATTGCATATATTCTATTTACACATAATAATGTATTATGTTGAGAAATATTTTTTTATTTTATTAGAAATATGCATACATACTCGTGTAATCTTTCAAATTTTTCAATAATCTTGTTGAAAACTTTTTAATTGATATTTATAAAAACGTTTTAGTTTAATTTGATAGTTCTGTTACAATGAGTTTATTATAGTTCCTAAAGTTTTGTACTTAAAGTACTTATTTTACGATAATTATTTAAACAGATGTTTAGTAAATTTTTATCTATTGTTCGAAACGATATTTATAGTAATTATTTTTAAATATGATTTCATGTGTACTGTAGTTAGTGATGTAAATTTTCATAATAATTAATTTTGTAAAAGTTTCCATGAATATTTTGACAAAAATATTTTAATTGACTAGTTAAAAATATCACAAATGATTTGTTGGATACATAACAATAAGTTGTCGACAAATTGTGTTGTGATTATTAATGCTATCGTTTGTGCTAAATCGAGTTGTTTTTGGTCTTCTCTCTATGTCTGCATTGTCGCAGCCATCTTATTATAGCATTATCTTATTATATTATTATTATTTGTTTATATCAGCGCCATTGTGGCATTATCATTAGTATTATTCACATTGGTGTATTTAAGATTTTATGATTCATGTGTAATACATTTAATTGTTATAAATTTAAGACGAAATAAAACTACTAATTCCAATTCTGAAACCATTAATTCTTTGGCTATGTCGATGAAAAGGAATAAGGTGAGTTTTTTTTATACCTTCAGGTGCCGCAAGAGGGTTGAAAATTTTACTGTAAGGGTAAAATAAAATAAAATAAAATTGTTATTAATTTTTATTATGTTAAAAATAATCCGTGCAAAATTTTAATTGAAAATGTAATTTTTATCTTATTAAAGATCCTTTAAAGTTGATTTTTATAAAAGTTTATAGTTTAGAAATTTTGCACTTTTAAACACTATTTTAGCTCATCTTGCAAGTTTAGAATTTATATCATTCAATAAAAAATTTTATGAGGAAAAAAAATTGTATTTTTTAGATTGATATGTGATCGGGAACTTATATTATTAATATTCCAGTAAATTTATATGAAAAACTCAATATTTCGTTGAAATTACTATTTTTTTTTTTTGTATTTTTACTTTAATAAATCATTGTTATAGAAGTCTTAATAATCATTTCTCTGTAACTTTTGATGTTTAAGTAGATGCTACAATTGAATTATTTAGAACTATATTCCGTATAGTTATATCATATAGTATTCTATAATATACTGATTACTGATATTCCGTGCCTAGTTTCTGGTATCATTTTGTCCGCTGTTGTGTTGTTAAATTCCATTTTAATTATTTTTTTTAAATAAATATTTGTTTTTACAATTTATAATAATCAAAAAATTTAAAGGTGATAGAAAAAATATAATTGCAGATTTGAAATCAGCGCAAAAATTGATTTTTAAAAAGTATATTATTATCTATGATGAAAATTCTTTGTAGACCATTTATTCATAAGTAACAATTTATCTCATGGAAAATTTTGTATCAAGTTATATAGTTATAATTGTTCAATAATAACGCAAAAGTAATTAATAAAGATATAATCAAACAAAGTAAAACATATAAAATAAAGATACACTTAAAACAGGATAAATAAATAATACACAAAATAAAAACTTAATGTCACAAACATACCACGCTGAATGAAATTACCTTCGGTACTCCCGAGGTCTTCTCTCCCCTCACAAATCATTCAATTTTGTCTTATATACTAAAATATTTTGTTTTTCTTTTTATAAAATTCATAATGCAATCATTTTTCAAAAATGTTTATAAATATTTGCTTCCCGACCTAGTAACAATAATTCGGGGAATTACAATTAATCCAAACATTACAAAAGTATTCTACTTCTAGATTTACAAATAATAGACTACATTATATTTTTGTAATAATAGATCAAGAAATTCATAATTAAACCAAAAATTACAAAAATGCTTTGTTTTCAGTTTTACAAAATAATGACCTATATTACAATAAAAACCTGAACTTTTCTTCAATTATGTAATAAACAAAAAGAAGTAAAAAAGGCGTAGTGTAAAAAGGATGGGCAGCAAATGGAAAGTAAAAGTGGCTATAGATACCGGGCAGTGACTACAATAAAATGAAATAGAAAGGGATCTCGGGGTATGTATGCTTGTGTAAAGACGTCTAATATGTGAATAATATGGAATTATAAAGAAGGGTCACTACTTAACTCCTGCACAAAAACGCGTACACTAATTTCCGGCGAGTCACAAGTATCGTATTTCTTTATAAAAATATTTTAGTTTATTCTCAATGACCTATCTTGTTCTAATTGTTTATTACTAAAAGTTCTTCAGTAAAGGATTTATTATAGACTTGGTATATAAACAAATGTTTCACTTACCTCTGACTATCCTGATAAGACAGATATTCTCTTGAGATGAATGATGTTGTTGATGTAACAATTATCGATGTTTACGTTTACGCATTAATGTACGCAGTTATATTTATACGGTTTATGTTATTATTAACTCGCGTAAAACTACTTTTATAGTACAATTCTATATCAAATCTACCCAAGGTGAAATCTAAGTTTATTATAACTCTGTTTTTTTTTAAACCCTTTTGTATATTTATGTGGTATAGTCTTTAATCTTGTATGTGGTGTTTTACACTAATATATTTGTTATTTAATAATTTATAAAACAAATAAAGAAACTCTAAACAACATAATTGTCCTGTGCAACAAACTATTTCCAAAAGGCCTACGTCTTTTCAGTCGTCCAATGAGTGATCTAGGGTAGATGCGAGCTCAATTTCGGTTCTTTGCACAATAGATTATACTAGTGCCCTACACTCCAATTGCCCGCACTGTGGCAGAGATCAGACTGGCTAGTCGATAAATGGAGAGACAACTTAGAGCATGGGTTCTCAAGCTTTTGAGGTCCACGCCCCCTTTCAAACTATTTTATATTTTCACGCCTCCCTCATCACTACTATAAGATTGATATATGCATAACATTTATATGTAAACTATACTTTAATGTTGGTTATTGGATTAATATGAAAACAACTTCAATGACGTTTTTTTATTATTAAATTAATTTATTTGCACAAAAAAAAATATTATTATAATTTAAAATTAATATTAACTATTAATAATATACAATTAATGAGAGGGTTGCCCCTGTTTATTTTTAATCAATTTTTTTATGATTGGCTACATCTGTGATAATGCGCATCTCAAATCACTCTCCACGTCCAATCGTGCTCGTTATTTTGATTTTATTTAAGCAAGCGCCGAAAAACCAGACTCGTAGAGGTAGGTGGAAAAAAACTGAACCAATAACTTTGCAGCTTCATTGGCAACTTCCAGATATATAGAGAGATAACACAGCCAAAAATCTTCAATAGTCTTATTTTTAAAGTCTTCTTTTGCTTGTGAATCATTTTTAAGGTCGATAGTTTGCTCTTGAAGATAATCTGGAAGTATGTCCACATCCATTTTGAATGGATCTAATACTAATTTAAATTGTCAGTTTTCTGTAGAAATATCAGGAAAATACTTTGATAGTTGGTCTTTTAAAGATACCAGATGTGCTGAAATCAATTCCTTAAACTCATTCTCGATATTTTATATGTGATTTTTGGTATCATCAAGAAGTTCATTAAGCCGTGGAAAAGATGAAAAATTAGGTTTGGTCGTACAAAGACGGCGTTGCCACAATGATATTTTTTCTAAAAAAAGCTTAAATTGTATTGTACGACTTCAGAATATTTGTATGTCCTTGAAGTTCTAAATTTAGAACATTTAGGAATCCAAAGAGGTCTGCTAAATATGCTATATAAAACATACATTTTTTATCCGTAAAATATTGTATAAATCTAATTTCCCAGCACTCATTAAAAATATTTCAATCTCAGACTTTAAACTGTACATTCTATCAAGCATATTACCTTTAGACAGCCAACGAACTTCTGTGTGATAAATAAGAGTTTTATGGTCACTTTGCAACTAATTACACAAAACATTAAAAATTCTAGTGTTAAAAGCACTAGATTTTACAGAGTTAACAATTTTTATTGCCAAACTCAAAACGGAGTTTAGTAATTTAGGTAAAGTCTTGCAAGCTAAAGCCTGTCTATAAAGGATGCAGTGTGAACCAATTATGTTAGGGTTTTTTTCCTTGACTAGTTGAATAAAACCATTTTTACAGCCAGTCATAGCTTGTGCTCCGTCAGTACATATACCAAATACTTTCTC